CAAGAAGATTGTCCCGAATTAACACGAGTGGGTCACGAATTCCATATATATTTGTAGTTCACCTTTTGTATTCGTGCGCCAGAACCGAGTTTTAACGTATGGGCTAAGGCCAAAAGGATTGTTTCATGGATATTATTATAAGTACTGATCTTATTCAAACAATCACAATGAATAAAAAATAGCAACTGTTACCGATATGTGTTATCTGGATTTTAAAAACCTTTCGAATACCCAATTGAACAAAGAAGTGGACAGTGTTTAGTATCCAGTTGGGAGAATTTGGATTACGCTAAGCGAATTTTCTCGGTATTAATTTTACAAAAATGGAAGCGTATAATAAAAAGAATAGTTCGTTGCGTCTGGCGAAACATGATCTGTCACCTCGTTAAGAACGCAATATATACACGTCACTTGATCACAGATAAATCGTATTTCACATGTCTTAGGAAATATCCTTTATTTATTATGAGTGAGTGAGTTTAGTTTTACCCCGCTTTTAGCAATATTCCAGCAATATCACGGCGGGGGACACCAGAAATGGGCTTCATATATTTTACCCATGTGGGGAATCGAACCCGTGTCTTCGGCGTGACTAGCGAACGCTTTAACCACTAGGCTACCCCACCGCCTCTTATTTGTTATGAACATTAGTACATGAGTATATCAGAGAAACACACTAGAGTATAAACCAAACAGCAAGGCCAGAGGTAGAAGTATATAGCTACTATGTAATAGATTAAGGTTGAGATATGATAAGATAGTATGGTAAATAAGTTAACAAAGTAGAATATAGTAAAGTTTCTTACCTGAATCAATTAACGTGAGTTTATGTCTCAGTCACAGAGTATTTTGTGACTGGCTGTCGTCCGCATTTTATACCTGTGCACGCTATCACAGAAAAGCATTCGATCGATCAAATAACCTGCTTAGACATGCGATATGGTTGTTATTGCCAACAAAGTCTGTCTTGATAGGATTATGTAAATGAAGTTGTTTAAGGAAGTTGTTGGGCGACGTTCACGAATACATTTATTAAATTATCTGCTCAGCTTAAATGCCCCCGTTGTACACGTGGTGAATGTGATTTGATAACAGTGGATGACAACTGTAGTCGTTAATGCAGATAAATGCATTGCACTTTATTAGTATAACTCTATCTGAACAGCACAACACGAGCTCCAGGTCCCGGATGTCTGAGACTCGTTATCAGTGTGACCCTCAGCAGGTTTAAGATAGTGGAAAGTGGTCGGTTAGTCAGAATTATTTACATTACTAATACAATATAACGTGAACAATATTTTCTAAACTTTGTTCATTTTATTCATGTAATTACATGAAATACAATCGACAAACTTTTTTTCCTACATCTATAATAGAAGCGACAAAACCCTTGCCGCATCCATAAGAATCCCTTCTGAAAGTAGAGTCGACTGTACAGTTCTGACTATATCATGAATATGTATCTGTTTCAGTCGTATTACAGCTGTACAGCTGGACTAAACACTCCAGTGATTGATGCCATGTGATACGATGACAGAGCATGAATCACTATCAAATAGTGATGATATCAGATGTTTGCGAAAAGGCGAGCGTATCCTGCCCCACCGGTGGCACCCGTCTTAAACAGTAAAGCATATGGAACGAATGGTACAAGACAAAATAGGAAATTGCATCGGACATAATTTTTGACTGATGTATCAAAGTTCTTTTAGACAAGTGTACCTTAAAACCTTTTGAAAGCTTTACCTGTAGGATAAAGCACGACTCCGAGGTTATGGTTGGGAAAGTAAGACCCGAGATCGGAGGGTGGGGAGAAGTAAGACCGAGAGCGCGTAGCCATAACCGAGGAGGAGTGCTTTATTATACATATAAATCGTCAATGATGGATAGCAAAAGCTATTGGGGTCTTAAATGTAACTTTGATAAAGCAGATTCTGAGCAAGAGTTATATGACGCTCTTTGAAAAAAAGAGTATACTCGAAAAGTTGTGAAATGTAAACACAAAAAGCTGGAGCTGTTTGAATATTTCGGCTAGAGTAAGCCTATGTTTAAGTAGGGGTTGGCAAAGATCAATCTTTGGTACCATGCTCCTGTTAGTTTTCTCTAAATGTAAATGCAAGCATTGAGCGGCAATGGGTAAAACAAGGTATGAAGCAGAATCAATAACCATTTCGGGTGAGATAAACAAAGATAGATGTCATAACTCTCTGTGTTTCAGGACAATCAAACCATTGGAAGATGAACATTAGCTGAAAACTACTGGTGGAAAACTGTTCAATATTCTTAGTGGCTGCATGCTCAAAGGCGGATAATGATTGTAATCGTTAAAGTAAATGGAGCTACCAAATCTTTCAAAGTACATTTATACCTACCACTGTATTTAATCGTAGAATATAGGTTATTTTAATTTATTGCAAAATTTGACGAACATCTGAAGGGAGGATGGTTGTACTGTAAGTCCCAAGTAAGAGAGAGAGAGAGAGAGAGAGAGAGAGAGAGAGAGAGAGAGAGAGAGAGAGAGAGAGAGAGAGAGAGAGAGAGAGAGAGAGAGAGAGAGAGAGAGAGAGAGAGAGAGAGAGAGAGAGTGTACAAAGTGAACCCCTGCATGTCAATGACCCCCCCTCCCCCGCCTCCTCCTTCCCATACGTTTAAGCACAATTTAAAATATCTTTATGTACAAAATTGATGACCCCCCTACATCCCCAGAATAACTAAACTCACTCACTCACTTATTGCTTCATCCAGCGCATCCAACAAGAAATACTGCACCACTTGGAGGAACTTCTTCAAGACAGCTGGCGGAGTGTAGTAGAGGTCATTTTCTATTATGGTGAGTGGGTGAGTGAGTTTAGCTTTACACCGCTTCTAGCAACATTCTAGCAATATCACGGCAGGGGACACCTGAAATGGGTTTCACACATTGTACCCATGTGGGGAATCGAACCCGGGTCTTCGGCGTGATTAGCGAATGCTTTAACCACTGAGCTACCCAAACGCCCCTTTATATTATGGGATAGACCTGGGGAACTTCTCTGGAGTAGCTGGCATACGTAATGCGATGGTGCTTGGCGCAAGCAGAGTATGGCTAATACGATCACAATTTTACTATTCTAATCGTTATAACGAACTGCAACATTTCTATAATTTCGACTGCTTTGGGGAATACTACCATGTAACATATTTATGTATTATCAACATGGCTAACGAATTCTGTAGCGAACTGAATTTTGCACATTGTTTCAGTAATTTACTTGCCTCCTTTCCCAATGACTGTAAATAGTTACTGCACGGTACTTTGACCACCACAGACTGCCATGGAATAACTATTACAGTCGAGGGAATTCCCATTCTGCTTACCTATGTCATCATTCACAGGACTTTTGGCTACATCCATGCACATTCCGGATCCGTCCAACCACTTTTGCGAGGACGGAGACCGAGAAGGAAAGAAAAAACATACCGTGAATACGTTCAGGGTCTGAAGGCTCGCCTGTTTTCTGTGTTTCGCCTGGTTTGCAGAACTTTCATGTTTTCGAGTTTCATATTGAACTCGCATTTTTTCCCTAATGCGTCTACCCGATCTTAGAGAAAAGATGTGTGAAACTGGTGATTACTGATGATGTCATTTGAAACAGCCGCCTGACGTATTTCCTTTTGTTCTCATTGTCTTATGCCTTGATTGACACATCTTATAAACTATGTTTTGATGCTATTCTCCATTGATTGGTTCTTGAATTTAGGGGCGTGTCCAGTTGTGTGCATGAATTAAAAGGTCACCTGATTCACATGCCTTTCATCTAAAGTCTTCTACTATCATTTATGTGATTGTTTGCCACCCCACTCCACATCTGCGCTGATCTGAGGACTATGAACAGGTTTCATTTTCTTGTCCTTGTTCAAACTTATATCGACGGTGTGTGGTGATCGATGTAATCTTCTTCTTGTCAATGTTTGCCTTCACAAAAAAACAACAACTCTGACTTATCATACTTTAATTAAAAACGTTTAAAGCTCTGTATACATGCAGTTTTTAAAATATATTATGTTGATGAAGGCTTTAAACTACACATGATTAATTAACATAATAAAGAAAGAGGTATACAAAAGCTTTTAGACATTGGCGGACATGGTTTAATATTATGCTGTTATACTTAAAAACACAAGTTATAAAATGTCGTCTCAGACAGGTTACAAGCAAATTACACAAGCCAGCATCGTGTTTCATTATCTTGTATTTATCGCTGAATGTATTCTGATATATTGTGCTGAGTGTGTGTATGTGCGTGTGTGCATCCGTGTGCGCATATGTCGCATCTGTCCATCTTTTCAATGAGCTTGAAGTCTAAGGATTTATCAGCCTGAACAACAAACAGTTTCAGAGGCCTGATTAATACCTTATGGTCACTTTCCTCATTGATCAACAACAGGGGATTTCGATGGAAACTCTGTTTACACCTTTACATAAACTGTGTATGTAATACAGTGAAACCCTGATAACTAAACCTTTTTCTCCGGTCCCGGCAATAGCCTTTATTATGTATCATCATTTTTTCATGTTGCAAGACTAGAGCAAGTAGAAGATGAGCTATTGTCCTGGTTTAAAAACGTTAGAGATCAACATGTGCCAGTTTCAGGGCCTACGCTTCAAATGAAAGCTGAGGAATTTGCAGAACGTTTAGGTCATTCAGACTTTAAATGTTCAGGGTTCTCAAGTTCAAACACCATTTTGCTGGTTTCACAATTAACTTGTTGCAAAATTGCAGAAAGTTTAAATATATTTCACAAAAGGTCTCAGATGTCAAAGGAATTCGCAGTTTTGTTACGGTTAATAAATTGCCGTGACAAAAGGTTTAAGAGTCCCCTTTGAACCAGCAAAATAGAACACAGACAAGTCTAAAATATTTGATAATATATTGAACAAGCAATGAGCAAGCTACAATGAATGACAATACAGATTTCTAGTACAATGCAATTGAGTCACAAATCTAACACATTGGGTCACAAATATAAGATATCGACTCACCAGAGTCTTGACATTTACAGTGAGAGCAGATATACTGATTGAAGGTTGTTTACAATGGCAACCGTTCACGGTCAGTCTTGAATGGCAGACAGATGCGTATAACTCCAGTCATATGAAAAGTCCCGTGCACAACACGACAACAAGCCTTTATATAGCTTTTACACAGTTCTCGAGCATTCTAGCAATGCTAGGCTGTATCATTATCCACTCAGAACTTTGTAGAAATCCGTCGAAATCGGTGGAAAACTCAATGGCATGATGACAGATGTAAATAAACAAGATTGCCAAGGGAGGCAACTCTGAAGCGCTATCAAAAGCCGTCCCGCTAAAAATAGTACTGCCATTGAACATATATGATGTGAGATTGAGATATGTGCCAAAACCCACACTCAAAACTTTAAACATTGTGACCCATAACAATTATCACTTAATCACTGATAATACAAATTACAAAAAACACACTCACATAACACTACCTAGATTTAAAGAGAGACACGGCATTTCGTTTAGACAAGTCTGTGGCGAGGCAAAAGTTAGGGGAAATGACATTAGAGTCGCTATTGAGTGAGGACATTGATCATTGATGTTATCATACATGTACTTTTGTTTCTGTGGAAAGACCACTCACTCAGAGTATTGGCATCCGATGCAGAACTGCACAGTTTCAGCAGAAAATGACAGTGAGCATGGATACCAATGTCCAATGTTTTACCTGCAAGCAGATTCTGATTTGGTTGACCTTTCCAGCAACAATACTCTCCACCCTGTTACTCTTGTGTCGTTCATCTCAGCAACTGTTGCTAGGATGAGCCATTTGTCACGTGCAGCAGATATGTTCTGACGTACAGTATAGGGGACATCCCTTGAAAATAAACAGACAAATGTTTGTCACCACAGTTTTGCATATGGTAGATCACCACACCATAGTCTATACATGATGTGAACACTGGTATAAAAGATATATAAATATATACACTTTACTATGGTGGATGCTAAAATATTGAATTACATTATGGACAAATAGCTGCGCTTGCCAAATGATGATTTTCTTTAAACAGTGTAAAATAAGCCTTTATACCTACCCATTATTATCCCCAGATGGTGAAGTTGCTGAAATCCGTGCATGATTCAGCTTTGACAACTCAGTCCAATAAAACTGATACACAAGAACCACGAGTAACTAGACAAACGTCGAAAGGACGATCCCCTTTTCTGTCAATGAATAAATCAATCAATCACAGTGTACACAAAACAAGAGGGGTGAAACTATTCTTGAAGTATGCTATACCTCGCTTAGATACATTGTACTGACTTCGAGAAGCCAATTCTTGTTTTATCCCGAAATGCCGAGCGCTATGCAAGGTAACACTAATTACCACAATAAGCACGGCGCTGACACCCTAACATACTGGAATGCAAATGTAAAGTACGTGCTTCATACCTAATCTCAAAAGCTGTTGTTCGTATGTCCACCTTCTAGCCCTGGCGCTAAGACATTTTTGTGTATAAATGTCATGATTGCATCATGCTTACAACTGTTTTCTGAACGAATATAAAAGATGATCAGTACTTGCAAAGACAGAGGGCAACAACTGATTATCACAAATTGAAATATTTCAAATACTAGAATTTATAATGTTCACTCGGATATGTAATCTAAAAAAATAACTATTGGCTTAATACATAACGATGCCAAGTGGTCATACAAAAATTATATGAATGAGAATAAATACTAAGAACCTGTTCGTCTCTGCTGCATCATTATCCGCGTCTCGATGTAAATGGTTTGATGCCTTTACCGGGAGCTGAAGGTTTGTGAAGAGGCCACAACACGTCCGTCTAATCTTGACAGCAGGGTAGATTTGCCTGAGACAGCAAACGATCTAACACAAGACACAAATCGAAAATTTACAAAATTATTATTTTGTAAAGTTCATATTTACAACAATTTACAAAGTTGTGTAAAGTTCATATTTACAAAGCTTGTAATTTCTTTTTGTTAATTCAAAGGATTTTACACCTGCCTCTTTCAGTTTCTCCTTTTCCTATGATGGATCCCCTGTTTTCACATCTCTCCGATGTCAGTGTTAAGTCACATTCTAATATAATCCTTTTATGTGTCATAGTAATGCAGCTGGTCCTGACACGTTAAGGAATAAAATATGTATTTTTTTCTCAATATTTTTTTTTATAGTTGGAATAATTTTCCATGTAAGAATGTTTATATTCACAATCTTCTGTGAACAAGTAGGGTGTCAGTGAGTGAGTGAGTGAATTTAGGTTGACGCCGCTTTTAGCAATAATCCAGTAATATCACGACGGGGGACACCACAAACAGACATCAGTCATTGCAACCATGTGAGGAATCGAATCCGGGTCTCCAGCGTGTCAATAGCTACACTACCGCCTTGATCATCTAGGAACGAGTTCCATAAATAGGAGCACCATTAATCAATCTGCATACGTCTTACTGTATGTTTCAAAATTCATATTGACAATGCACCATTTACACGTGCCATACAAACAGCACATACCATCACGTGCATGCACGTGCAAACAGCACATACCAACACGTGCATGCACGGGCAAACAGCACATACCAACACGTGCATGCACGGGCAAACAGCACCTACCAACACTTGTATGCACCCTGCTTCATAAGTGAAATAATCTAGAACGCAATGTATAACCCCATTTTAATAGTTTACTTTGAAATATCTTATAATATTTTATAATTTTATAAATCAGGTTAGCTAAGCCAACATAAGGCATCGTTCTGTAATGGTCAAGAACAAATCCAATTCCCTATGTATATGTCCGTGCGCTAGAAATGAAAGAGGTCACTATATTTGTTTCATATCTATATCCATGAAAAAAATCCCAGAGTGACAAGATATATAATCAAGGACTGTATGGTATGAGGGTATTGCTTCATCTCTTTCCAAAAGTCAACACCACTTCATGTGAGAAATATTCATTCAGTTCCAACATTTATGCAACGCTGGTCATCACATTCAGATGACATTGATCAATATCAGTGAAGATCAGGGTTAGAATTAATCTTCAGCTACCCATGCTTGTCAAAAAGGCGACTAACGGGATCGGATGATGGGGCTCGCTGTGTACTGTTGATCACTGGATTGTCTGGTCCAGACTCGATTCTTTCAGACCACCCACATATAGCTGGAATATTGGTCATTGTCTTCAGAGAATGAATACGAGACAAGTGGTATCGCAAATAGTTTTAGTCAAGGCGATGGTTTATTCTATTGATGAATTCCGGTGTCGGTATCTGCAATATCCGAACGTGGTATTCTGATGTTTCAAGTTTTCAAAATTAGATTTATATTCTCTGTATGAGTCATATTTAACATTTGAACCTGTTGTATCAAAATAAAATAGAAGAATGCATGCTTTGAGAAACATATGATGACTGTTCACAAACAATTATTTTCATAAACATACCCAATATTGAGTGCTGCTGCAACAGGTGTATTCAGGTTATACAGATATCTTATCTACTGAAGTGATGCAGTCAGCGTATCGATGCCAGCACAGTGCCGAAACTGCGCTTGTTAGAGTACAGAATGGCGTTTTGGAAGCTGTTGATACCAGTGGAGCTGTCATTCTTGTATTACTAGAGCTAACGGCTGCATTTGACACCATCGACCAGACTATCTTGCTGCAGACCCTAAACCATGGATTTGGTGTTATGACCGCTTATGACTGGCTTCAATCATATCTATCAGGGTGCACTCAGGCTGTGAAGATGAAGAATAGCATGTCTATGAAGGTAGAACTTCGCTATATGGTGCACCTCAGGGATCCGTCTTAGGGCCGATCTTATTCACCATATATACTTCTTCCTTGGGAGATATAGCCCGCCGTCATGGTCTGTCCATACATCTCTACGCAGATGACACGCAACTATATCTAGCATTCAAACCCACAGACCAGAGATCTATCAGCTCGGCTTTCAGTCGGATGACACTCTGTGCAGAAGACATCAAACAGTGGATGGCTTGCCACTTCTTAAAGCTGAACAGCGAGAAAACAGAATTAATGATCTTTTGTTCCAAATCTGCACAAAAGAAGTTGAGTCTTCCATCATTTCACATTGGAGAACATGCCATAAAACCAGCACATGAGGCAAGGAATCTTGGATTTGTCTTTGAGTCAACTCTCTGAGCTGAATCACACATCAACAAAATATGCCGCAGAGCATATGCCAATATCCGCAATAGCAGACAAATACGGAAGTTCATCACTACCAAAGCTGCTGTTGCTGGTCCAATCATGTGTGCTCTTGCATCTGGACTATTACAACGCTCTGTTGTATGGTCTACCCAAGGCCCTCATCAACAAGTTGCAGCGAGTACAGAACTCAGCAGTCAGAGAAGCGACGAGAACACGGAAATCTGACAGCATAACAGCTGTTCTGAAGCGCCTTTATTGGTTGAAAGTGGAGAAAAGGGTGAAATACAAACTACTGATTCTTGTGTTTAAGTCAAAACACAACTTGCGCCACCTTATCTTCAGGATCTCATCACAGATTATCAACCAGACAGAGCCTTACTGTCAGCTAGCCAGAGTCTGCTTGACACTTCATCTTCAAGGTCAGCAACCTAGTATGGTGATCGTAGATTTACAGCAGCAGGCCCAGCACTGCGGAACTCACTTCCAGAAAGCATATGATCTATTTCGTATCTTGATGATTTCAAGAATGCCATCAAGACTCACTTGTTCCAAGAGGCATACAAATAGACATTCCCAGCATTGTGTATATCCATACGTTGTCACACTTTAGCATCGCTTTTGAGCAGCTCTGCTCAGCTAGTAAATGCGCTATATAAATCTTTTGTTATTATGTTTTACAGATATAAAGATGAAAATGCAACAGTAAGGTCTCGGGTGATCCTGGCACAGTCAGGCTGGTAAGGCTCATCATCAGCTCAGGGCCCCTTCTACACGCAGCCCAGACAGCGAATGGGACTTCTCCCAGGAAACACTGCCTAGTCGAACCCACCAAGACCTTTTCGGAGAATATGAAGGCTCCCCAACACTGCAGCCTTCTGCATTACCCAGAGTGTCAGAAGGGCTTTGCTCCCGGTGGAGAACCCGGGCACTCCACTGGTCTGCGCCAAGAGATCAGGAGGTACCAAACCAAGGGCACCGAGAACAATGGGGAGCCTGACGACAGTGTACTTGGGATGCAAGCGAGGTCAGCATACTTAGTATGCTTTTCCTGAATCTTGTCAATCACATTGGTGTCAAAAGGGACAGAAAATTCAATGATATAAATAAATTCATTGGTTTTATCAAAAAGGACAAGATCAGGTTTGTTGGCTGGACTTCTTCTGAGGCTGTATATGGGCCTATTCCAGAGAAGTTTGAAAGCATCATTTTCCATGATGCCCTGGACATGTTCAGGGTCGTACCATGGATGGACCTCGGAGTCAAAGCCACAGGCATGTCGGAGACGGTAGTAAAAGCAACGAGCCATGCCATCATGTCGTTTAAGATATGATGTTTATGCCAGGGCATCCACTGACAGGGTGTTGGACAGTCTCCGTGAATTCATTGCAAAGTCGACATTTCATATTGATATTTTCTTTAAGAATCACATTTAGGCGATTGCGAGTGGGAAGTGACTGGTCCTGAGTAGCAAAAAGGAAGCCCTCAGTTTCACATTTAAGACCAGCCGACTTCATCCAGGCGAAGGAGTCGGTGGGATTGCTATTCTGTTCAACGCACTGCATGTACACACGATGCAATGGCTTCTCAGAAAGCTTCTCGACAAATGACCGACTCTGGGCAGACTTGGTGAAGGACTTCACCTGGTTTACTCCCATCACTGTACCGTCCAGGGCCCCGTTTCACAAAGCTCTCGTAGGCCTAAGATCTCGTAACACCTATGATATATCTTACGATACCACGCTAAGGGCGTTTTACGAAAGTATCTTAATACTCTCGTTGTTACGAGAAAACTTACGGTAACTTTTAGCTATCGTATTGCTAACTCTTTTGCTGAGAAGACTGGAAAAGAACATGGAATGCGAGTTACGTCCCTTTGTGTAAACAGACGACAACCCGCCGTACAATCGAGGACTTGAAGTCAAAGGGAAGGGTGAGAAAAACGAACTTCTCGTCCTTTGAATTAGACATTTTAACTTCCGAAGTGGCCCACAACAGCAGCTATCTGTTTGGTAGATTTTCAGCAGTCATCACAGCTGCTGGCAAAAAGCGTCTCTGGAATGAGATCGCTGAAAAGTAAGTGATGATAGAGTCGATCTTTCGTTCGTAGGCTTCTTCTGATTTCAGCTTAATTAAATTTAAACGCAATGCTAAAAAAACACAACGAATAAAAACACTCCTTAATGTTTATGTATAACAAGTGTCATAAAAGCAAATGATGTAATACTTTGACAAACATAACATCATAAAAGATAATGACAACCTCGCTATAGCGATTAGTGGGCGTGACAGGTTACGGCGTCCTTAGATACAAAATGGCGATGGTGTCGGTATATTACGTACATTTGAGAATTTATCTTGTTATATGAAATACCTTCACATGCTCAACATAATTTCAAACCACTTGTGACAATATTACAAAAAAGATATCATCTTTCATTGTATTATGAACATGTTTTTGTTAATAGGATCAATGCAAATGCAAATACTAGGAGGGATGGGGACGAGGTCCGTAGGAAATGGACTGACTTCAGGTGAGGAAACATTGATCTTTTCAAAACTGAACCTAAAGTTTTAGTTATTTAATTTCACCATGGAAGCTTAACTTATTTCATGAGTAAATTTGTTTGACAATAACACAAAATTCAACATTAATAACAATTTGATGAAAGCTTTAGGACAAGTTTAGTTAATCTGCAATTACAATTTGTAACATACTTTTTCCCTCACTAAATACAAGTAATTAATTTATATGTAATGTACAAAAACCTTGCTACCAGTTATTTGACAAGGTAAAGTAATATACACGGTATAACGTATATGCCATGAAAGAGGAAATATAAGTATTAATTAGTTAACATACATGTATTCTTATTATGATACAGTATGTTGATAATACAGTAATGGTATTATCAAAATTTCTCAAATTTGTCTGAAATATCATGTGAGTTTGTTGGAATGTGTCATGATCATTTATACACTGTTGTTTTTACCTCTGGATAAATATTGTAATTGTTCTACCCAAAAACTCAATCTGAATAAAATAAGTGCTAATATGTGAACCTTAATCAAAGATTTTGAATTCTCCCAGGTCCCTAGTTAAAAAAAAGGAAATGATGAGAAGGAGGGAGATGAAGAAAACTGGTAGCGGTCCAAGCCCTCAACCATTGTCAGATGTGGAAGAAAGGGTATGAGAAACATTCACTACTTAGCTCAAAATGTGCTGAAAATAGATTCTCTGACAACTTCTCTTCATAGAAAGAAATTATGAATCACATTTACTAAGATTTTAAATCTATACCCTGGTGGTGTGAAGTAAATTATTCGTAATTAGATTGGTTAGTTGTTGAAAATACAAAAAAAGACAATATAACGTATAAAGCATCACATTTTTCTTAATAGGTAGCAAGTCTCATACCCACTTGCCAGTTAGAGGGTATTTAAGGTGGAATGGAGTCTGAATACTTTGAAACAAGTAAGAACTTAAGAAGCAGTATTGACATAAATACAGTATATCTCAGATATAAAAAGATTTTTTCTATTCAATAAAACCATTTGAGAATAAATTAAAAGCAATTGTTTGATTTTTAGACCGATACTAAAATTTCAACAGATGTAATTAATGTCATTACAGGTCCAACAGAGTCATGTGTGACAACTGAGTCTCGACCAACAAACAAACTAAACAGGACGCTTGTTATTTGCCTAAAAGCAATATATATTTTCAATGATTTATTTCATAGTGATATCATTAACCAACTCTCTCTCTCTCTCTCTCTCTCTCTTCTCTCTCTCTCTCTCTCTCTCTCTCTCTCTTTATAGACAATTGAATGTTAAATGTTGACAGCTGTTACATTCTTGTGAGGATGAAACTAGGTTTTCAATTGACTTCTTATTGCAAAATTGCAATGTAATGTTCTATTAAATTTTGTCAACAGATTTGATATCATCATTGCACAGTGTAATATCACCTCCCAACATTGCAGTAAAGCCACCGTTCAAGCAGACAAAAAGGAAACATTATACTGGCAAGTCATTATAATGCATCCATCAATTTCATCATACTGATCCAATTTATGTAATGTTATTGAAAAATGTTTTTCAACGGTAATTTTAGGATTTGATAATTGATGCCAGGCATTTCTTAATTACAGTGGCTGATGATCCATCTGACGACGACATTCTGAATATTGTCAAAATTGCAAAAAAGAAAAGTTAGAAGTGTTGAGAAGAATAGCTCAGGCAATGGAGGAACGGAACGTCACTGAACGAGAGAAGTTGGAAATAAAGAAAAGGAGAATGGAGTTTGATTCAGTTTTAAGTATTGACCCTGTAATCAAATTTTGAATGGACTGAACCCTATACTAGGTGGCCTGTCAATGGTAACTAATTGTAAGACCAGACCAATTTCATTTATTGTTTTACGGATTTTTGTCCTCAGGAAACCTAAAGGCAGGAGGGAAAAATTATAAAAATAAAATAAAAATAATACTCCATCTAAATGCTTAAAGTATTTTACTTTTGGCAATTTATGTAGTGTATATAGGGCAAAATAGAATCTAAAAATATTTTTCGGGTAAGTTTACATTTTGGCCAATAAATTCATTATGATTTTATTTTTTTGAGAGAGGAAAATTAATATTTACTTTCTTTTCTCATTCTAGAAAACAAAATGACCAGCTGAACCGTAAAACAAGAAGTAAAACTGGTCTCGCCTAAAAGATCATTAATGGATATGTATTGCCAGAGAACAGAACCATTATCACCACTTGATGTGTATGTACCTTTCAAGTAAAATAGCAGTAATTTTATAATATAAGATGATGGTTATTTTGGGCTGCTTTCCCATTTGTCAGCTTATTCAGAAACATCCTTTAATCCTAATGAATATAATTCCTCAAATATTTGACACCAAAATAGCACTTCTATTATGTATTGTATCATAAGATTCTCTTGTTTTCCTGTGAATTGTTACACTGTACATATGCATTTCGGAATTTTAAAATATGCACATTCTTTATACATTTTATGTGAATCTATCTCTAATGATATTTCTGCGAACAGTTTGTCCATCAGTCTGTGGCGAACCATCCGGAAAATGATTATCATCATTCTCATCTTCAACTAGGTCATGATCTACAAGACAGGGCATATTTCTACTCAGGCAAAAATTGTGCAGCTTGAAGCAGGCCATTATAATTTTGGAGCTTTTTGCTGGGGTGAAGGGAAGGCAGCCAGTGCTCTTGTAGAGACATCTGAAATTAGGAAATCCAAATTTAGAACAATGTGTGTGTGTGTGTGAGAGAGAGAGAGAGAGTGAGTGAGTGAGTGAGGGAGTGCGTGAGTGAGTGAGTGAGAGAGAGAGAGAGAAATATATCTAAATTTAACATATCACATTATTATATGATAATCATATAATAATTACAATATGATAAATAGATAAATGTATTTTAATTTTTATTAAACTGTTGAAGGAATTACAATGCAATCAAATTTTCATTTCATTATTTTACTTTTTTGTTCATTCATTAAACTTGCAAGGTTCATACCTGAATCTTGATTTTAAAACGCCAAAGGCCCTTTCTACTACATTTCTTGTTCTGCAGTGACAACTATTGTATCGCTCTTCTGGGCGTGTGTGTGCCTCTAGAATGGGCGTCAAGAGCCATGAACGACTTGGATATCTGACAGAACAGTCATGGAAAAGTGAACATAGTATTTATTATTTAGGTATTTACTTACAAAAGAAGAACATATCTTTATAGTGTTTAAATCAAACTATGTTATAGTAAACCTTTAAGATGTTACTTTCATAAATGGAGAATTGCTTATGGATACTTACATTTTAGTAATTACTAAAACTGATAGCAACTATCCAGGATGTAAAAGCATGTCAATCAGATAAAACAAATTGTATTGACACTAACCCTGAGTCACCTAGCAGCCAGCCATCTACAAGGTTTTTTTCCAGGTGTTGTCCCAGGGCAGAGCTAGACAGCACTGTTGCATCATGTGTTGCCCCAGGCCATCTACTAACCACATTAAGGAATCTAGAAATTAAACATATCTGTGGGTTAGTTCATTCGATATGACCAGTGTTGTAGTTTGATAAAATAAATATAAAAGTCCTTTACATTTCCATTTAAAAGTCACTATGTTTTTCAGACTGTTTACAAACAGTTTTGTAACTTCAGAATTACTAACAATTTTCATGTTATCATCAACTCTAAATCATTATGTCATTAGCATTTATTTGTGAAGATAAAAGTTACTTTTTCATATTTCAATGTCTATACTTATTAGTTATTTTGCATCACTTCATTGTTTTCCATAAAATATAACTGCAAATACATTTCTGCTTATATCTTTTTATCAACTTGTAATGTACTAGTGACTAGATACATTCTTATGCAATGTTCTAAATTTATTTTCATGCAATGACAGTCACTCAAGTAATGATACCTGCTTAATTTCTTCATCAGAAGCTTCATTGTGCATTTGCAAATGTATATAGGAAGTGTAAGTTTGTTTTTAAGTATATTGTATGTAAATATGTTCTATGGGCCTGTGACCTGAAACTATGACATAAAGACATTAATCAGTTACTGTGTTTTTCTTTTAAATCTTTTTTCATGTTAGGAGATCCATTTTTTAAATGAACCACAACTAGGGGAACTTACTCCAGTTTGTTTGGGGATAGATCTAACGTTATTGACACATTGATAAAACATGGGAGACGAAGTGGAGTGACTTCACTACTAAGTGTTGTACCTGAGTTTGTCATCGCGCACAGCCTGTGCATTTATTGCATGATATCCTTTCCGGCACACGTAGGAGGGTTCCTCGTCACCAGTCGGAGCTTGGATAGGGATGAGCGTGCCGTCAATACATCCGAGAACTCGGGGGGAACCAGCCAGTTTATGGAAACCTTCCTTGACAACGCGCTGCTCACTCACAGAGGTCGGAAAGTGGATATTGTCCAACGAATCACAAATGGCATCTGTGGTAGCATGCAGGATACGCGAAACACTTGGGATGCTAATACCATGCATTTGGCCAATCTCTGAATAACACCCTCCTTTTGACAAAAATCGCAGTGTTGCGAGCACTTGGGTTTCTGGTGAAACCGGCACGGAACGCTTGGTGTCTCTTTGAAGGTAGGGACGAGTGAGATTAATTAGCTCAAAACAAGAGGCCCTGTCCATTCGATAGTTCATAAACAGTTCGTCGTCACTTACGATGTCCAGTAGCAATGTTCGATCCGGAAAAACACGCTGTTTTTGAATACTTTTCTTGCTGAGTTTCTCTTTTAACAACATATAATACGCCATTTTGTTTTTGACTTACGAGAATAAAGCTCATTTACGAGAGCAAATACTTACCGTAATTTGTATCGTAAATTTAAGGTATCGTAAGCCTACGAGAGTTTCGTGAAACGCCCAGAAAATCGTAAGATTGTGCTACGAGAAAAGTTACGAGATCTTAGGCTTACGAGAGCTTCGTGAAACGGGCCCCAGCAGTACATCGCCATCAACAAAATCAACCTCCAATCTCAGATTCTGTCCAACAACCTTGGCACGCTTAAAATAGCTGTGGAATTCCTTGCTTTCATCATGAGTCTTCACATGCATCACTAGAGGATCATCCGATAAATAAATATGTGCAAAAGTACAATCTGGTGAGATGTAACAGACAAACGACCTAGTTACCTTCTCATGCATTGCATGGTCATAATCGCGGACCCATGGTGCCTCAAGGTTACAGTTGCCGGGTACAGACCACAACTGTTTCATTGGCATCCATGGGAGGCCGTTTGTCATGTTCACCATCACCCCTTGTTTTCAGTTGCCTGTAGAAGTGCTTATTATTATTATTATTATTATTATTAAGATTGGTACGGACCAACTGCAGATTTTTATTCTAGCTGAAAAGGGTCTCAGTCTACAATTGCTTTGTTTAATATTCGGGATTCACTTACTCTTACTGTACAATCTGGCCCTCAATTCAGTTGTGAAATTAAAAGATACAACTTATTGTAATGCGTGGGATACCAACGGCCCTTGAAATACATATATTACTGCATCAAGCCATGCCAGCTGGAGTTAAAAACGTTGGGGAAGAAAATGTTTTCTACCAACACCATTGCTAACATTGTATCCGCAACCTGCCTCATATCAAATACAACGTATAAACAACAGATTATTTTAGTAGTGTTGTAACTTGTAACATATGTTTTATTATGTGACAAATGACACTTGTGTGGGTTAGAGTTGGTTGGTTAATTCCAAACTTGTCAGTATTCCATTTTTCTGAAGGCGGCCTGTAAATCGCAATATTCTGAAAGCGGTCTGGTGTTTGATATCCACGTTATGAGGTTAGGATGACACGCTATCAGCCAGGTCACAGAGCTTGACAACACAGGTTGCTGGGAAGCATTTCTAATCAGATACTATCCCGTTCATTTCCTTGTCTTGTTGGCCACGCATAACAAATCTATTTTCTCCTACAAAATAACATATATATTAATCAGTCAATCTATATTTCTTTGTGGTGGAGGCTACAGGCCCGGATTACGTTTACAAATGACATGATAAATAAATTACACATGGTTTTATTACAATATCTATATACATTGTCAAAGTCACATCGCATTATAAACGAGTGCTCAAAAGAAACCATAAACCACAAAATATTACATAAAAACTCACAAAAATAGAAATGAAGTGATAGAACCATACCGAGCCATGTCACACACGTACAGACCCATCCTTTCCGGGAACAAACGGCGGAACAAGTAAACGAATCGCCTAAACGTTGCAAAAAATCCAAAACGACTTTTCCTGGTGTAACACGAAATACGCGTGGATACTGACGGTATATAACAGCCTATGCGACACGTGAGCAACACAGTAGTGAAAAATATCCCACGAGGCAAATCGAAAGAGAGAGCTGTCAGAATGGCTTAACAAGGAGCTAACCACACCGTCATTGCAAGAACCTTCGGCTGCACCCGAGCAAGTGTCATCAGACTAATGCACCGACTAAGAAAAACAGGCAGTACATCAGACAGTGCTAGCAGTGGTCGACCACGTGTGACAACGCCCGGTGATGATCGCCACATCTGGACAATTCACCTGGGAAATCGTTTTTGTAACGGCGACGCCGACGGCAGCGATGGCACTAGGACACCGTAGCCGTAGCCATACAGTGTGCCGGAGACTAACAGAGCATGGTATTCGAGCACGTCGACCCTACTGAGAAGTGCATCTGACGAGAGTAGGTTTTGCCCGTACAGTAGGGGCACGTTTATCTGAATTGCATTCAGTGTTCATGGCAGCTTGGATACTCGAAGATACAAGGATGAAGTTTTGCGACCAGTTGTATTGCCATTTATGCAGCAAGATCCACGTGGTATTGTCTACTAACCCCATAGCGCAAGGAGACTAAGTGAACATGGTATTCGAGTACGTCGACCCTACCGAGGAGTGCATCTGACTTTTCAAAACCAACGTCGTCGATTGACATGATCCAGGCGAGTTCGACGTTAGCATATTTTCTTTCTTCAAGGTAAACAGCCAATAGAACCAGTAGAGTCAAGAGAATAGAACGGTTTTCACGGAGAAGAGATATTCACTTCAAATATTTAGCTGAGAATGAATTTCCAAAGGGTTTCGGGGAACTTATATTGCTCACAGGGATCTAAAAATAGATCATGTGCATAGCAACAGGTTATCGAAATGAGGTTACACAGGTGCAAGGTGACAACCATGACCCTGTTCTCATGTCCAAGGTCAGCTTAGTACAAGGTGAGACACAACTACATAATAGGGCCCGTAAGTAGGTCACGGCACTTCGCGAGACATTACGTTGTTTAGTACTTCCGGTGACAAACAACGTTTTTCGGCAATGGCGATAACACTGTTACATGGGGCATGTCATGGATAATCATACTCGACACTCGCTGTGTGACTCAGAAAACTATGTCATGTAACAGACTATGCCCAGACTGCCAAACAGCTGCAGAGTTGTCACAGCGTCGTCTTCAGGCTGGCCCATTCATTAGTCGAGGTAAGTTTATTTGTTACATGGATTTCTTTGTTTTCATTTAAAGGCTGGTATAGTTTAAGCATGGCACGCACAGTAAGGGTGGAGTTGACATGTGTGCAGATTGGTGAATCTTTTGATTGCATTTGATATCTTACAGTGGGATTGTATTGTCCCCCTGAGAGGGTATATAAGACCACGTCTTTGAACTTTTTCATCGTACGTTTAATCTCATCACATTTTTAATCACAGTATACATGTTCGTTTAAATTAATGTCTAAACTGTCAACAGCTGAAGGGATGATGTAAATCCAGCTAGGGTCCATGCAGGTAGCAAAAATACTGTAAGTTCCCGTCCCCATCTACCTTCAGCTGTTCAACTTGTTGGCAACCTATAGCCCAGTTTTATATTGTATTGTTCTACTTAATAATATCGTTTTATGATAGCGTGCTAATTTTACTTTAATACATGTGATATACTAGCAGTTTTACTGTTCTTCGACAACAGACTTTTAATTTCTATTTGTATTGATCTATAATAATAAATTGTTCTCGTCACGATATAACTGAAATATTGCCAATGTGACAATAAATATTAACTCACCCACTCACTACAGTTGGATTTTGCAGGTGTTACATTTATTATATTCTTCATGGCAAATATCAATTACCGGTAAGTTTATCCATAACAATGTAAAGTTATTTTGGAATCTCACAAAAATATTTTTTGGGTCAATATTTGTAGAGTTGTGCATAAAACATTTTATCGGGAACTGTGTTAATGAATAAAGAATCTTGCAGTTGGAATTATCCAGGAGATAACTTTATGTGCAATGAAATTCCAGGTGTAATTCTAAAAATATAAAGGTAATGACTTAATAATTTAATAGCGTGTAAATAATGATGATTATATCCACACTATGATTGATGCCAATAGCTCTGAATAGGTGTTTCTCACACATGTATTCTGTAATATGAGCTTGAATATTAGGAACCCATTTAGCAT